TGTGTGTGTGTGTGTGTGTTTAACTCTTAATTGTTACAAAAAACAATATTTGTTTTTATATTTATGGGGTTCTATACTACTGCTAAATAGCTGGGAACTGAAAAGGGGAAATGCTTGGGAATCAAAAGAATAAAATGGGGAGGGGGCAACAATTTAAAAAAAAATAAAAATTTAGTTAATATTATTATTAATCGTTTTATGATTCCTACATTATCAGTTCCCTCTATGTTGATAACGTGCTGTTCAAACTCATGCTCTTGGCCTTCACACGGTCACGTGGTGTCGACGCACTCCAATTATACAGAAACTCCTTGGGGAAGTAAGGGCTCCCAAACTTTCTGGGAGGAGTCTTGTGTTTTCTTTTTTCTTTCCTTTTTTCCCCCCCAGCAACAGGCTGACACGTGAAACTTTCCTGCGAAGTCGCCTGGTATGTGTGGTTGTGAGGAGCTCCGTTAGCTCTGTAGACGGACAGAGCAGTGGATCAGGACGCTCCTCCTGCTTCTTTTTAGAAGTCGCTCCAATGGAAGGAGCCTGAAGAAACGCAGCAGCCCTGCCAGGATGTGTTCGCACGACGCTGCTGAGAAGTGACGGAATAAAAAAAAAAAAAAGTCAAGAAAGTGCCTTTTTTTTCTCCTTTCTTTTTTTTTCTTCTCTTTGTCAACTTTGCCTGAATTCGCAGTGGCCCCTTGGAGAAGTTTCCACGCAGCGCCATGGCTGCTCAGTGCGACGCTTTGACTGGATACTTGCAGCAGTCCGACCAGGGCTCCAATAGCGAGCGGAGCACCGACTCTCCTCTTCCCGGCTCAGAGGAGGACTTGAGCGGCCCCCTTCCGCCGCCAGACCCGGAGTGGACCGAGGAGAGGTTCCGCGTGGACCGCAAGAAGCTGGAAGTCATGTTGTTAGGTAGGTAACAGCAGCAGTTAAAAAAAAAAAAAACAAACCTTCAACTTTCTTTTGCACGTTTAACTTTTTATTTTAAAATTGTTTTAATAATGACAAGAAGCCTCAAACTGCATCTTGTTTTTCTCTTTCCAACTGACTGCAATGTTTTGAAGCATTTATATGCGTGACCCGAAAGAGCCAATTAAGGCAATTAAGTGGAGTCGAGCTCTTCGCCTCCAAATAATAATCTGTTTACAACTCCGTGACATGAATCATAAACAAACTAGAGTATCTAAATAGTTGGAAACTTAAATAAGTGTCTGCCTGACMTGTTCAGTTATATGGTCTAAAGCTTAAATATTAGAAAAAGTGAAACTTAAGCCAATGTTATTACCTGCAGTAATACGATCTGACCACCAGATGTCGCCACACAAACTCCTGTGTTTTGCATGCTGTTTCCACATTGTTTCCTGAAGATTTAATTAAATCAGGTAGGACCGAAAGTGACATTTTATTTTTCTGTTTTACTAAATATCGTTTGTATATATACACAAAGTTTACTTTATCCGTAAAAAAGTACGATTAAAAATTAAACGTTATTTTTTGTCACATTAATGTTTTCCTCAAGCCAATAATTCCACATAAGGTGCTTGAGATTAGTCAGATTCACATTTCTCTGTTTTTCTTGATGTTTGTTAGAGCATCCTATTTTTATGCCTAAAATTGATAAACTTTTTACCTTTGCAACATTCTGCCTAACATATATAAAAAGTTGTGATTTTATTTTATTCTTTGGTGAATTTCAGAAAGAACTACACTTTCAGTCAGAAAGTTGCCTAAACAAAGTAGGGAGCAAGCGAACACACTATTAGCTTAACTACCAATTTTTAGTCAAATYTAGGGTCAAATATGGTTGATTTTGGTACTGAAGAAAGTGGAAGCTGTGTACACAAAACACAAGTTCACACAGGCATCCAAACTACGTGCACGGTTAGTGTTATTTTTCTGTGAAAATATCACAAAGTTTTTGCAAACATTTGGACTGGAAAACAACTAAAAGGGCAATTTTCCTTTTATCAGTTTAGATATAGATACTACTCAGGTTTATGTTGTGTTTGTWCAGTTGCAAGGAGTCCCTTTTCAGTGGTCTGGAGAGCCACATGTGTTTCCAGAGCTGCAAGTTGCAGAATCTCAGTTAGATTCAGCAACAATTAATTCAACAASCTCTCCTTCCTTTAAGTAAAAGATGAACTGAAAATTGATAGGTCCTCTTGAAAACAAACTTTTTGTTTACAGATATTGTAGCTATTACCTGTAAGAACTTGCTGTTTTTAATATTTGTTATTTCTGCGTTGTGTGTCCATTGTTCCCATGTCTGACTGGTGTTGTGCGAAGTTAATTCAGTTGTTAAAGCAGTGTGTAATCTCCCTAATGATGCATGTGTGGCAGCGAACAGTTAAACAAACTTGTAAAAAGAGGCCAGACTGGGTTTTGAAGAGTGGTCCCTTGAAATTCAAAAGGCTGAGGTCATTTATCATATGTTTCAAAACACTTGCATGTCTAATATTTGAGCATTAGGTAAGAGGGCTGGACTCTTATCTGTTTTGCAGAAAGACACTAAGTTGGATCAGTGAAGCAACTGAACGGGGCCCTTAGGAGGAATCTTATCAGTCATGAGCATGTTGAAAAGAAAACAAGACAGATATTAAGTGTGTCAACATGGCTGATAACTTGATTTGTTTTCTTTGTATTTTAGTGAAAAGCATTTTTAAAGAGGCTCTAATTTCTCGTTTCGGTTCAGCAAAGTGGCTCTGGAGCACTGTTTTCTTCTACATTGGTRCAGATGTGTGCATGTACAGTGCACATGTAGCTCTCCTTCGCGAATGTCCTGGTTGTTGCCTCGCAGCTCCGCGCATTCCTCAATGCTCCATGTCATCTCAAACTCTTCCAGGAAAACAGCTTAACCAGAGGCCGGCCCTGAATCCGAGTCCTCCGGACATACCACGTCACACGCCTCACCAAAACGGGTCTGTTTATGCCTTTTGTGTGTGTGTGTATATTAAACAGTTTATCTGTTTGAGTGGATCTCAACAGTTTGTCAGTTCGGTCTCTTGTTTCTGCCGTCGTCTTGTTTCCTAATTGCTCGGTCATGACATCATTGCTGACTCTGTTTGTGTTGACGCTGCAGCTTGGATGCAGAGTAGAAACGGCTGCTGTGTTCCAGTGTCTCGGGCCACTTACAGGTTAAAGTTTAAATGCCGCACTATCTCAGCCACAAAAATGTTTTCACCTTTGACCTCTGCCCCTCTGTAGCAATTCAGGAAGTCCGCTTGTATTGCACGTTTCTTGATGTTGATTTTATGGAGTCCTAGAATCTGTCAAATTTTGTAAATTATGCCTTAATAACTGCAAAATGTTCCAGTAATGTACTGGGTGTGTTTATGTTCTTTAAATCAGAGCCTCATCTTTTCTTTTGCTCTGAGTGTGTAAATTCATGCTCCCAACAARTCAAGAGCTCTCAAACTTCTGTCAATGTTTTAATAGGAAAAGTTGCTGATTTGTATGTGTATATAATGTTCTGATGGTCAAACTTTGGGTCCATACTGAAATCATTTTATGAGAATTTCAGGATGTTTCTTTATCCAGTGTTATATTGTCTGTAACAGTATCTCTGATTTGCCTTTCCTGGAAGATTTAAGGGTGACCTGACCTTCGAGGTAGAGCCACAGATCAAATCATGCTGCGATTACTCCTTGTGCATAACTAAATCTGGTGATATACTGTAGCGGCACAAGTTTGTATTTTGAAGGGCTACTGTGACTGCATTGCTCAGGAAATGCTTTCATGTGGATTAGAACATTACTGGACACTGGATACCACTCACTTTTTGACTCGTGTTATGGCATAYTTTGCATCAAATGGAAATTGTTAGTTGCTCAGCAATCACAAYTGACTGTCTCTAGCACTGGCAGGGATCAGGTTCCTGGGGCTTAGATCAGTAAATGGAGTGTAAAGTGACAAGAAAATCTGCTGTCAGGGTTTACTGCTGTACTCTTGGCACCCAGGAATAGAGGTCCTAAGTGGATGGCCTGTAGACCAGTAACAGAAGCACAAAAGCTCGAAACATGTTCTTTATATGTGCAGARACCGGTGTAAGAGAAAACCTTTCTGATTTTTGTTACTCTTACTATGAAGACACAAAGACAAGTACAGGAGTACCATTTTTTCAAACTGTAACTTTTCATATAAACTGTTTTTAAGGATATCTGGTTGTTGTTTTTTAAAGCCCACATTACCTGTGCCCATGGGGGTCGTCCCTGTGTTCCCTCGGTACGTATGTTGCAGGTATTGTACTGGAAAACAGTACCTATGTTTTTCCGGTACATATTTTCCCTGGTACGTCTGCACTGTAATTCAGTACTTTTTTAATTTGTATTTAAAACATTTGAAGGGGGAGCTAATCTTTCATGACYTTGATTATTACACCAGGAAGAACATAGGTACAAAGAAACATGGATAAGGAAGAACAAATTATGCAAGAATAGAGGTAGGTAGAAATGTAGGTACGGGGGATTATAGGTATAAGGGATTATACTGTAGGTATGGGGGAATGTACTAGGTATAGGTATGGGGGAACATAGGTACATTGGATTATAGGTATGGGGTAACAGGTACAGGGGTATAGGTATTGGGGATTATAGGTTTGGGGGAACATAGGTACGGGAGATTATAGGTATGGGGAAATGTATGGGGGATTATAGTTATGGGGGAATGTAGGTATAGGTATTAGGGATTATATGTATGGGGAAAAGTAGGTTTGGGGGAACATAGGTACGGGAGATTATAGGTATGGGGAAATGTATGGGGGATTATAGTTATGGGGGAATGTAGGTATAGGTATTAGGGATTATATGTATGGGGAAAAGTAGGTTTGGGGGAACATAGGTACGGGAGATTATAGGTATGGGGAAATGTATGGGGGATTATAGTTATGGGGGAATGTAGGTATAGGTATTAGGGATTATATGTATGGGGAAAAGTAGGTTTGGGGGAACATAGGTACGGGAGATTATAGGTATGGGGAAATGTATGGGGGATTATAGTTATGGGGGAATGTAGGTATAGGTATTAGGGATTATATGTATGGGGAAAAGTAGGTTTGGGGGAACATAGGTACGGGAGATTATAGGTATGGGGAAATGTATGGGGGATTATAGTTATGGGGGAATGTAGGTATAGGTATTAGGGATTATATGTATGGGGAAAAGTAGGTTTGGGGGAACATAGGTACGGGAGATTATAGGTATGGGGAAATGTATGGGGGATTATAGTTATGGGGGAATGTAGGTATAGGTATGCTGAAACATAGGTATGGGG